GTATAAACCTGTAAGGTTTATACAATTGAGGATATTAAAGTGATCCTTCCAAAACTCTTTTAGAGTCAGTTGAGTTTCTGTGGTCACTATAAAGCACTTTTGAAGCATAGCTTTTGTGTACAGTTTCTTGAAGTTGGAAATGACCTGCTGGTCCATGGGCTGCAGGAGAGGAGTGGTATTAGGAGGCAAAAACTTGACCTTAATGAAGCTCCTGTCCCCAGAAAATCGGTCTGCCAAGTCTGTAGGATGACCAGGAGCATTGTCTAATACCAGGAGGCACTTCAGGTCTAATTTCTTTTCAAGTAGGTAATTTTTCACAGTGGGGGCAAATGCATAGTGTAACCAGTCATAGAAGAAGTCCCTAGTGACCCATGCCTTACTGTTTGCCCTCCACAGCACACACAAATTACCCTTGAGGACATTGTTTTTCCTGGACACACTGGGAGTTTCAGAGTGATACACCAATAAAGGCTTCACTTTGCAATCACCACTAGCATTGGCACACATCAACAGAGTAAGCCTGTCTTTCATAGGCTTATGTCCTGGGAGTGCCTTTTCCTCCTGAGTAATGTAGGTCCTGCTTGGCATTTTCTTCCAAAACAGGCCTGTTTCGTTGCAATTAAACACTTGTTCAGGTTTAAATTCTTCACTGTCTATGTAATCCTTGACTTCCTTCGCATACTTTTCAGCTGCTTTTTGGTCCGAACTGGCAGCCTCACCATGCCTAATCACACTATGTATGCCACTACGATTCTTAAATCTTTCAACCAACCTTGCTGGCCTTAAATTCACTCACATCACCACTAGTTGCATGCAATTTTTTTACCAATCTTCATGCAAACTGCCTAGCCTTTTCACAAATGATCGCTTGAGAGATGCTATCTCCTGCTATCTGTTTTTCATTTATCCACACCAATAGCAGTCTCTCAACATTTTCTAACACTTTCGGTCACTGTTTCATAATCACAATTGCACCTTTTGCAAGAACAGCTTCCTTGATTGTCGTTTTCCTGGTCACTATAGTAGAGATGGCTGATTGGGGTTTACTATACAACCTGACCAGCTCCGACACACGCACTCCACTTTCGTACTTTGCAATTATCTCTTTCTTCATTTCAATAGTCATTAGCACCTTTTTTTTCTCGAAGGGTTGGCACTAGAAGCTTTCTTGGGGCCCATGGTGACTTATTTTGCAGAAACAAGCACCAAAAACAGTGATAATATGGAATGTACTGAATGTATCCTTAGATGCCCGCACACTGGCTGGCTTGTAAACACTGGCACACACGGGGCAGTTCAGGCCACACGTGGACACGTCTCATACAAATCGCATCGAATACCGGGTTTTCGATCGGATACCGAGGCAAAATTTTTGCGTTAAAATGCATCGAATACCGGATTTATCGAATACCAATCCCATCAAATACCGGGGGTCCACTGTACAGTGGACCCTCGGCCAACGAAGGCATTGTCTAACGATAAATTCGTCCAACGAAGCATTTGAGCGTAAAAATTTTGGCCCAACCGACGATGAAAAACTCTACCAACATGATTCATCCCGAGCCTGTCCGTCCAGCCTGATCGCCTCAGCTGCCCTGCTGTCATTGTTTACAAGCCAGGGTGGATGGTTCAATGCATATACAGTGGACCCCCGGTTAACGATATTGTTTCATTCCAGAAGTATGTTCAGGTGCCAGTACTGACCGAATTTGTTCCCATAAGGAATATTGTGAAGTAGATTAGTCCATTTCAGACCGCCAAACATACACGTACAAACGCACTTACATAAATACACTTACATAATTGGTCGCATTGGGAGGTGATCGTTAAGCGGGGGACCTCTGTATAATACCTTAGGCCATTAATTTTTAAATGGGTGGACTGGTAAGCCAGCGGAAGGCCTCGGTCAGATGACCTAAAGCTCCAGTGGCGGGTCATCATCTGACTAAACCCCGCGTCAGGAAACACTTGCCCTGTTTCCTGATGAACCTTACTTAACCTAACCTAGGCCATTATCAAGGGTAATATGCATAAAGAGCTAGTTTTAATAACTATTAAGATACACAACCCACACATAGGAGAGAGGAGCTTACGATGACGTTTTAGTCGACTTGGACCATTTACAAAGTCAAGCTAAGACAAAGTGAGGGAGCCAGTATAAATAGGCGAGGTCCAAGTTGGACCAAACCAGGTCATAAGCTTCTCTCTCCTATGTGCGGGTTATTTGTATATTATTCCATTCACGGTATTGTGGACCCACCTGTACAGCAGTAACCCTAACCTAACCTGCTGTCAAGTGAGACCCTCCTGTACAGCAGTAGCCCAGAACTTAACCTGCTGTACAAGTGAGACCCTCCTGTACAGCAGTAGCCCAGAACTTAACCTGCTGTACAAGTGAGACCCTCCTGTACAGCAGTAGCCCAGAACTTAACCTGCTGTACAAGTGAGACCCTCCTGTACAGCAGTAGCCCAGAACTTAACCTGCTGTACAAGTGAGACCCTCCTGTACAGCAGTAGCCCAGAACTTAACCTGCTGTACAAGTGAGACCCTCCTGTACAGCAGTAGCCCAGAACTTAACCTGCTGTACAAGTGAGACCCTCCTGTACAGCAGTAACCCAGAACTTAACCTGCTGTACAAGTGACCCTCCTGTACAGCAGTAGCCCAGAACTTAACCTGCTGTACAAGCGAGGCCCTCCTGTACTTAATTAGGACTGAGAATGAAAAAGAATTGTTATAAGTATTGTGTGGAGTGCAGTCCTTATTTTTTTTTATTAACATATTGACTGTTTCCCACCGAGGCAGGGGGCAATTATGTTCCAGTAATTTCACTGGAATTGTGTATTTTCTTTGAAAGAAGTTTTTCATTTCCAGCTGAAACTAATGCACCACTGTATTTGATGACAAATTTGCATGAAATAACTTCATTCTTGACAGTTTAATATGAGATGAAGGAATTACTTTCATTTTTATTGTCATTATCATCGTAAGATGTGAAGTGTAAAGTGGCTAGAGTTTTATGATGGTGGGAAGGGCAGTGCCTGCACTCTGAAGGATGGAGTAGGTTAGTGCCTGCACTCTGAAGGATGGGGTAGGTTAGTGCCTGAACTCTGAAGGATGGGGTAGGTTAGTGCCTGCACTCTGAAGGATGGGGTAGGTTAGTGCCTGAACTCTGAAGGATGGGATAGGTTAGTGCCTGCACTCTGAAGGATGGGTAGGTTAGTGCCTGCACTCTGAAGGATGGGGTAGGTTAGTGCCTGCACTCTGAAGGATGGGGTAGGTTAGTGCCTGCACTCTGAAGGATGGGGTAGGTTAGTGCCTGCACTCTGAAGGATGGGGTAGGTTAGTGCCTGCACTCTGAAGGATGGGGTAGGTTAGTGCCTGAACTCTGAAGGATGGGGTAGGTTAGTGCCTGCACTCTGAAGGATTGGGGTAGGTTAGTGCCTGAACTCTGAAGGATGGGGTAGGAGGTTAGTGCCTGCACTCTGAAGGATGGGGTAGGTTAGTGCCTGCACTCTGAAGGATGGGGTAGGTTAGTGCCTGAACTCTGAAGGATGGGGTAGGTTAGTGCTTGCACTCTGAAGGATGGGGTAGGTTTAGAGCCTGCACTCTGAAGGATGGGGTAGGTTAGAGCCTGCACTCTGAAGGATGGGGTAGGTTAGTGCCTGCACTCTGAAGGATGGGGTAGGTTAGTGCCTGCACTCTGAAGGATGGGGTAGGTTAGTGCCTGCACTCTGAAGGATGGGGTAGGTTAGAGCCTGCACTCTGAAGGATGGGGTAGGTTAGTGCCTGAACTCTGAAGGATGGGGTAGGTTAGTGCCTGCACTCTGAAGGATGGGGTAGGTTAGTGCCTGAACTCTGAAGGATGGGGTAGGTTAGTGCCTGCACTCTGAAGGATGGGGTAGGTTAGAGCCTGCACTCTGAAGGATGGGGTAGGTTAGAGCCTGCACTCTGAAGGATGGGGTAGGTTAGTGCCTGAACTCTGAAGATGGGGTAGGTTAGTGCCTGCACTCTGAAGGATGGGGTAGGTTAGTGCCTGCACTCTGAAGGATGGGGTAGGTTAGTGCCTGCACTCTGAAGGATGGGGTAGGTTAGAGCCTGCACTCTGAAGGATGGGGTAGGTTAGTGCCTGCACTCTGAAGGATGGGGCAGGCTGGTGCCTGCACTCTGGTGGACGGGGTGGGCTAGTACCTGCACTCTGAACGGGGTGATCATGATGTTGTCCAGTGGGTAGGTATATGAAGTGTGATGTCAGCATATTTTTGGAAACACGGCAATAGAAAAAATGATGATGAATATGTTTTCTTAGAGTCTTCCTCCCTTGTTGAGACATGGCTGATGAGCTAAAATAAAAAGTAAGCAGAATATCGCCTGAATAATGGGTAAAATAAAATATGTTGTATGTCAAATCTCAGTGGAATAATTTTGTATCTCCTATTGGAATATGCTGCTCAAGAGGAGAGATTGTTCTGAAGAACAAAAAGGCACAATACTGTAGCTGGAACAATACATAAATAACTTGTACGTAAGAGAAAGAAACTTAAGACAATGTTCTGGTCTGACTTGGACCATTAACCAGTTACTAGTTGGACCAAAATGGTGTCATAAGCCTCTTCTTCTTATGTGAAGGTTATTTGCATAAAGGATTGCTCTGTTGAAATCTGGATATTTGGGCACTTTTAGTGTAGTAGAGACAAGTGCTTTTTTGGGCTGTGAAGGGCTATTGCGGTGTGAGTGATGTAATATGAAGGGATTCATGGAAACCAGTTAAATAGGACTTTAGTTGTGGAGGTGAGGAGTACAGGTCCTGCACTCTCAAGGATGGTTGGGAATGTTGCAGTTAAGACATAATGTGAATAGTGATATGTCTGCTCTTCTGGGTAGTCACCTATTGAATGAGTGATGATGAATTTGTTTCTTTTGGATCACACTAACTTAAAAATGTTGTAAAAATGTAGTGACATTTTTGTTTCTGTATTGTCAGTTTTTTCAGTTAAGATATAGCTGTGTACATACTTGCAGTGACTACCAGCGGAACTTCACCAGCGCCAACACAGCCATCGAGATAGCAGCAGCTGGACCAGGGGTTCTTCAAGCAGTCTGGCTCCTGGCACTGGCACTTGTCTTCAAGGTTGGAATCTATCTATCTATCTCTCTCTGTCTCTATCTCTCTCTCTCTCTCTCATTCTCTCTCTCTCTCTCTATATTTATATATATATATATAAATATATATATAATATATATATATATATATATATATATACAGGAGGGCCCCACTTATACGGCAGGTTAGGTTCCAGGCTACCGCCGTAAAGCGGAAATCGCCGTAAAGTGGAACACCCTTTTTTTCCACTTATAAATGCATACAAACACTAGATAACAAGTTTACACTAACATATATTAAGTTAGCAATAGAACCAGGCATCAAAAACAATAAAAAGGTACAATACACACATAGTTGCACTCATTACTTACCTTAAAATATTTATAGTCTTAATCTAGGGTGAGACAAGTAGTATTTATTGTAAGAAATCAAGTGTGGTATGTATTGTAATAGCCAGGCTACCTCACCAGGCCACCCCACCCACACATACTATTCTATGATATTTAAGCATCCCAGAGCGATAAAATGTATATACAGTTCACTCATTACTTACCTTAAAATATTTGTAGTCTTAATGTAGGGTCAGGAGTAAGTAAATGAGATAAAACGAATAAATAGAGAGAGAAAAAATGAGACATGGAAAGGGAACAGGGGCCCGAGTTATGTAAACAAACCAGGCTCCCCATCTTTTATTTTTTGTTTATTTTTCTATTGTGGGGTGTATTATCATCTTTTTATGTTTGAAAGTGTTTTTATATAATTTTGTTTTTTCTGGGTGGGTTAAGAAAATGTGTATATTACCGCAATATACGCATTTAAGACTCGGGGAGTAAATTTTTATTTCACCCCTTGGCAGTCGTCTGCTACCCATCTCACATTTTTGTTTTTTTTATTCTAGTGGGGTGATTTACTTATTTATATATTAGCATCGGTTATTTAAATTTGAAAAAAATTCATGGGTGGATTAATGAAAATGTGATATTACCGTAATATACAAAATTTTAATGGGCTCGGCAGTATTGTTATATCACCACTTTTGAAATCTCTGCTCACATCTCACATTTGTTTATTTATCTACTGGGGGTGTATTTTTTCTTTTTTAATTTTATGCATCGTGTTTATTATAAAATTTTGAAAAAAAATTCTGGATGGAAAGAAAAGTGTATATTAACGTAATATACGCATTTTTAAAAGCTCGATGTATGTAAGTTTATTTGGTACAGGTAACATAAGTATAATTATCAGATTATATAAAATATGAAAAAAACTTTTAAAAAAAATTTTAAATTTTTGGGGTTTCCAGACAAATGGAGAGCTTAGTCTTACTGATCATGGAAAGTAAACAAACAGGTGGGGGGACGGGGACCGATTAGAAAAGCAGGTGGGGGAGCCCTATAGGAGTTTTGGTCATAATTTAAAAGTCCGTATTTGCAAACGCCGTAAAGTGAAACACCGTAAGCGGGGCCTTCCCGATATATATATATATATCTATATCTATCTCTCTCTCTCTCTCTCTCTCTCTATCTAATATATATATATATATATATATATATATATTTATATATATTATAATATATTATATATTTATATCCCTTTTATATCTCTCCCCCTCTCTCTTATATCTCTCTCTCTCTATATCTCTCTCTCTCTATATCTCTCTCTCTCTATATCTCTCTCTCTCTTATATCTCTTCTCTCTATATCTCTCTCTCTCTATATCTCTCTCTCTCTATATATCTCTCTCTCTATATCTCTCTCTCTCTCTCTCTCTCTATATATATATATTCCTCTCTCTATATATATTCTCTCTTCTCTCTATATCTCTCTCTCTCTCTCTCTCTCTATATATATATATATATATATATATATATATATATAATATATATATATATATAATATATATATCTATCTATCTATCTATTCTATCTATCTCTCTATCTCTTATCTATCTATCTATCTTATCTCTCTTATCATCTCTATCTCTCCTATTCTCTCTCTATCTCTCCTCTCATCTCTCTATCTCTCTATTATCTATCTCTATATCTACTTATCTCTCTCTTCTCTCTCTCTCTCTCTCTCTCTCTCTCTCTCTTCTCTCTCCTTTTTTTTTTTTTTTTTCTTTTTTTTTTTTTTTTTTTTTTTTTTTTTTTTTTTTTACTACACAGGGTTTGACAAGGTCAAGGATCCCTAGCTTTATTGACAAGCTATTTACAGGTTAAGGATTCCTAACTTTATTGGCAAGCTAAGAGCTGTTACCTACATCAGCTCATTTGAAAGCATTTTTATTGTTATGAGACATACAAGTAGGGAACAGGATGAAGTTGGAGCCATCTATGGGCCAGCATTTTCATTTGATCAACTGACTTGATCTCATTGACATCATTATGCTATACAAATGTGTTCCATACTCAACTCATCCTGGGTATATATGATCTCAAATGGAATGATGTTCTGGAGAAGGGTACAGCCAGAGTGAAGTTGCTGCTTTCTGCCCGTCTTGTGGCATAAAAGCTTGTTTCACGCTGTCCTCGAAGTGGATCCAAGTGTGGTATTTTGACAACATTGGCCTTGTACATAACAGTAAGGCCACCCACATCCCTCCTATGTTGAAGGCTCTGCTGAAATGACAGATCTATCCAGGATGGGTCCAGGCGAGAGATGAGACGTCTTGCTCTGTTCTCTACTCTGTCAAGCAGTCGCAGATGAGAGGGGGGGCAGGCGAACCAAGAAAGTGGAGCATACTCGAGGTGTGAGCATACTTGTGCCTCGTACAGAATCTTGCAACCTGTACTGTGAAGCAGATGCGAGATACGGCGAAGTGCTCTAAGCTTCCTGGCTGCCTTGTTTGCAAGATTTGCAACATGGTTCTTCATGGTTAGTTTGGAGTCAAATTTCACCCCAAGGATATCAACTTCTTCTCCAGGTGCCAACATCCTCCCATTCATCCTTACCACTGCACCAGCATTACCATCATGGTGCCTAGAGACAATCATCATTTGCATTTTCTCAGGTGCAAATGTTACTTAACATCTATTTCCCCAAGCTGATATAACTCTCAGCTGGTGATTGATGTAGCTTAGAGCAGCTGGCATTTCTTCTCTTGGATAAGTGAATGTCAGTGTACAGTCGTCTGCATATGCATGTGATTCTGGGATGAGATGAAGAAGGTCATTGAAGTAGACATTCCATAACAATGGTCCCAGCACGCTTCCTTGTGGAACACTTGCCCCAGTAGGATGTCTTGCTGATTCCGTTCCATTGAGAACTACACTTAGAGATCTACCATGAAGGTAATCACTGAGGAGACATAGCGTAGAGCCTGCAATTCCCAGTGCTTGAAGTTTTGCTAAGAGGCCCTGGCGCCACACCCGGTCGAAAGCACCAGCAATGTCCAGTGCTACCACACAGCTGACTTTGGATTCATCCAGTGACTGGTGCCACTTAGTGGAGAGGTTTAATAACAGATCAGTAGCAGCGTAACCTTTCCTGAAGCCATATTGACGATCACAAAGTAGTGAGTGATAGTCAAAAAACTCTGTCATTTGTCTTGAGATTATTGTCTCAAGGATCTTACCAGTGATTGACAGGAGTGACACTGGTCTGTAGTTGCTGATTTCTGCTCTGCTCTTCTTTTTGTGAACAGGGACTACATTTGCCTCTTTCCATAGAGAGGGCCATTTACACTGTACTAGGCAGTGCTGAAAGATGCGAGTTAGAGGTGCTGCTAGCTGGTCTGCACATCTTCTCAACAATCTTGGGCTCAACTTGTCTGGGCCCACAGCCTTTTCTTGGTCAAGCGATTTAAGTAGGAAATGCACCTCCTCCTGCCTTATTGTCACCACTGACAGTTTTGACACAGTTCTTGCAGCTAGCCAAGGAGGGTCCCTTGCTGGATCAGGAACTTGCATTTTGGTAGCAAAGTGTTCAGCAAAGAGGTCTGCCTTCTCTTGACTACTAGTAGAGGTGGTCATATCCTGTCGATTTAGAGGTGGAATAAGTTCATCAGGCAGATAACCTTGTCTGTCCTTGACCAGGGACCACCAGGTTTTGGAGCCTACCCTACCTGATGCTAACTTTCTTTTAGTGTCCACCTCCCATTTAGCAATGGCCCACTTTTGAACATCACCCATATGCCTACAGGCTTGCCTGTGCAAGTTCCTGTTATAGGTGGTAGGATGTCTCTTATGCCTTTGCCATGCTTTGTACTTAGCAGTAGCTGCCTCTCTACAACGAAAGCCAAACCAAGGATGATCTGTAGGCTTCTTTCACATATTGCCGGTGGAAAGTGTTCTTGTTGGTAGATTAAGGATGTGTCCAATGAAGGCTTTCACCTTGGTTTGTCAACACCCCTTGGAGAAAGCATTCCATCAGTGGTGTGACTCAGCAAAGGGCTGGCCAATTACCTCTCCCATAGCCCAGGTTGTGCCTGTGGACTTCCCACCTCGTACTGTTGGGGATCTTAAGTGCCATAAAAACACCCTTGTGGTTCAGGTGATCCAACATAGCCGAGGTTGCAAATTCTATACCTTCTGCCAGACCCACTCGCTACTGGGTCAAGGGAGGACCAGAGATGTGAAGGAAATCAACAAAGTTCTCTTGTCAAATACTGCAGAAGGTCATCAAAGCCCCCTCTGTATAAGGTGTTGGTTGAGGTCACCAACAATTAGGGAATGTTGACAGTTGTGTTGTAGCAAAGGAGCAATATTTCCATTAGGAAGTTGATGGGGTCTGCATGTTGACACTGAGGTTTGTACATGCATTGCTGTACAGAGGTCAATGTTTTATACAGACTGAAGAACATCATTTCAAGATGATTAGGATGGCACATCAAGTGCTGGGCATAACACTTTAAAAGCACACGCAACACCTCCTCCTTGCCCTTGCCTGTCCTCTTCTCATCCATGAGGTTTAGCCGCAAATCTCTCTCTCTCTCTCTCTCCTCAATCTCTCTCAATACCCTCCCCCTCGCTCGAATCTCTCCTCAATCTCTCTTTTTTACACAGGTTTGACAAGTAAGGACCCCTTTAC